AAAAAAAGAGAATCTTTTACTTTAAAATCTGCTAGGGTTATTACAATTAAAATAATTTAAACACCTGTAACTGTTATCGTTTTAAGGTTTATATAAAAGTTGTGGTGATAACGCAGTACACATTAAAGAAATTAATTTGACAGAAGTTTTTAGTAAACTAAGAAAACAAATTTTAAAATAAAATATATAATTTTATATAGTTAGTAATTGAGAAGTAAAAATATCGGAACTTAATTCATTATTTCATATTAACATAAAGGTGTAATTACAAAAACCACAATCACAACATTGGTGACCGCGACGTTATCTAAACACGCAGCAGGCGAACATGCCGGTAACACATTCCAATGACGAATCTGGATCCAGGTCATTACAACAAATTTTTATGTGATTTAAGCAGCATAACTTACACCCATTTTGATACGGCGCGGCCGCCAACGAGGCATGAGGCCAGCCTACTGATCAAGGTTACTTTCTCAAGCCAACGACTTCATCAAATGTCTTCAACGCTCTCCACTCTCAACCACTTTGAAACGGCTTGGCCTGCCAACGAGGCAAACAGCTAGTCTGCACTCCAAGTTATTCTCTCAAGCCGACGACTTTCTCAAATGTCTCTAGCGCTCTTCACTCGCAGCCACTTTGACACGGCGCGGTCGCCAACGAGGCATACGGCTGGCCCTGCACGTCAAAGTTTTCCAAATCCTGCATTGCGTGCCAAAAAGAATTACGACGGACCAAGGACGGCAGTTCGAGTCCAAGCTATTTGAGGAGCCAGCAAAAATGTTAGGGTGCGAAAGGCACCGAACTACCACGTATTATCCTCAAGCAAATGGGCTAGTCGAACGTTTTCACCGTACCTGAGGCACTGAAGTGTATGTCTAATATGGAATGGTCGAGAATTTTACCGTTAATAATTATGGGGCTAAGATCAGCATATAAAGAAGACCTACAAGCGACATCATCAGAGCTGGTTTATGGCATACATTGTGACCGAAAGGTTTTCGGAGGTTCTCATTTAAAATTCGCGCGCTGTATATTTTTCGATATTTTAAG